ATTCAGCTGTACATAGTAGCTGTAATTTTTAGAGCTGCAGAATAAAATTCAGGGAAGACATTGATCGTCTAAGATTTCCCCTGGACACCTGCCTTCCGTTCATCAATACCAAAGACTCAGAGTTGTTAAGTGACCTCAAAGTCAAGACAAAAACCCAAATATGTGCACCATTTAAATTTTTTGTTTGATCCGTTTTTATTCTGTTGATAAGCAGAGAGAGAGGAAAGAGAGATACCATCACCTGGTTCACTTACTAAATGCTTGCGATGACCACATCCAAGGCTGGTGACACAATGACCACATCCACGTGGGTGACAGAATCCCAGCTACCTAAATCATCACCTCTGTCTCCCAGGATTGATAGTGCTGGGAAGGGACATCAGGAGCTGGGGCTGATGTCAGGAGCAGGCTGTTTTAACTGCTAGCCTAAAGGTCCACTTCTGCAATATTTGATCTTTACTGACTTTAATTAGCCACAAGAAAAGGCAAGAGAAGCTTTGTCCCCTTTATCTTATATTTGGGGAAGAATAATTAAAGTTTTGAGATCTCCAATTTCTTTCACAGAGGCGAACGCGCACATTCAGTGTGCTTTTTATATCTTATTTTTCCCCCTTGGTTTTGACATTAGATCCTCCAAACATTAGATGAGAAAATTGGATTATCAAGAAGCATCTGTTAAGCAACTAATTGCATATGTCAGTGACATACTGAGAACATTTTTAGCACATTAAAAGTTTTTTTTATTATAAAATAGTTCAAACACATCCTGAAGTAGTGAGAATAGCATAATGCACTCTTAAATGCCTAACCTCAGCTTCCACAGTTATTAGCTCAGAACCAATTTTGAGTTATTTAAACTTTCATCTACTCTTTTTTCACGTGGCCTTGTTTCGAAGTCAGTTTTAGACATCATGGCAGTTCATCCGTGTGCGTGTCTATGCAGACACACAAAAGATGAACGTCCTTTTAAAAATGCAGCTGTTACGTCAATGTCACACCTAAAGCGAATCTCTCACTAATATTATCAAATAATGCCTCTGAACAAACGTACCACCTTTTAAAAATTTTGTTTATTGAATAAATATTTAAGAACAGCAGTGTCAGGTTCTTAACTTTCTTCTAATCTGTCCCCACTGTTTTTCGTTTTTTCAGAAACTGAGTTCTCATCCCACGAACTCTCTCAGTTTACTTTTTAACTTTGCTAACTGCATCCCTATGGTGTCATTTAGCATGCTGCTGCCTCCCGGTGTCTCCTTGTAAACTGGTAGTAAATCCAGACACTTGACCTACTTCATGGGCAGTGGCAGATCTATTAGGTAGAAACTAAAGCCTAATTTTCTTTCTTTCCTTCCTTCTTCCCTTTCTCTTTCTTTCCTTTATTCTTCCTTTTTCTCTTTCTTTCTTTCATGCAGCATGCATTTTAACACTTTACTCTCCATCATTAATAATTTTTGTTTTAATTTTATTGCAAAGTCAGATATACAGAGAAGAGGAGAAACAAAGATCTTTTGTGCACTGACTCACTCACTCTCCAAGCTGCCGCAACGGCTAGAGCTGTGCCCATCTGAAGCCAGTGAGACCTCTTCCGGGTCTTACGTGGGCGCAGGGTCCCAAGAATTTAGGTTGTTCTCAACTGTTTTCCTAGGCCACAGCAGGGAGCTAGGTAGGAATCAGGGATTAGAACCATTACCATTTTGGGATCCTGGCATGTGCAAGGTAAAGGACTTTAGCTGCCAGACTGACTGTGCTGGGCCCCATTTATTTTTTAATGTATCATATTGAAAAAAGAGATTTTCAGTACCTTTAGCGTGGGTGATGATTTTAGTTTGCTTGAGACAAAAAAAGAAATTTGATATTACTTAATTTATTTTCATAAATAGTTTTAGAGCACAGGAGATATTCAGGAATTATTTTCTGTTGGAGAGGAAGAGAAAATAAGTCTGACTTATTCTTACTGATCAAAACTCTAAGGGTCATTGTCACATGTTTTATAGGTTGATGTGAAAACCATTATAATCAATAATTATTTTTAAAGTTTTATTTACTTTTATCAGAAAGATTATGCAGACAGAAAAGAGAGGTCTTTCATCTGCTGGTTAATTTCCCAAATGACAACAATGGTCAGAGCTGAGCTGGTCTAAAGCTGGGAATTAGGCACTTTTTCCTAGTTTTCTATGTGAGCACAGATGCCCAAGAGCTTGGACTGTCCTCCACTGCTTTTCCAGGCCCTTAGCAGGAAGGTGGATTGGAAGTGGAGCAGTCAGGACATGAATCAGCCCCCATGTGGGTTATGTGCACCACAGGCAAAGGATTGCCTTGCTATGCCACCAAGCTGGCAAATGAATATATTTGTATCTATTTTGTAGATGTAGAAGCTAAAATCCAGAGAGATCCAGGAACATATTGAAGGCTGCCCGGCTGTGACCTTGTAGAAACTTACTTCAAATTAAGTCCCTTCTCATGTCCAACTCTATGGTCTTTCTACACAAGGGTCATGTTCAAAGTGGTGGGTAAGGAAGAACAGTGCTGAGGAGCATTGCCCAGTACCGGACTTTGTGAACCTTGAACTCAAAAGGTCCTGAATGCCAAATCATTTAAAAAGGCAGTTTAAAATGCACAAGAGAAAGCCTATGAGGAATCCTTTAGAAACACAATGGAAGTGAATTTATAAAACAGCTTTTGACCATAGAGTTTTCTTTCTTATTTCTTTAAAAAAGACTTATTTATTTATTTTTTATTGGAAAATCAGATTTATGGAGAAGAAAGACAGAAAGATCATCCATCGACTGTTTTACTACCCAAGTGGCCACAACAGAGCTGAGCCAATATGGAGCCAGGAGCTTCTTCTGGGTCTTCCAGACAGGGTGCAGGGTCCTTAGGTCTTGGGCCATGCTCCGCTGCCCTCCCAGGCCACAGGCAGGCAGCTAGAAGGGGAGTATCCGGAACACAAGCTGGTGCCCATATGGGATCCTGGCATATGCAAGGTGAAGACTCCAGGCTACCACACCGAGTCCCATGGAAAGTTTCCTGTTACCTTATTAATTTCTAGTACAATACATATTTTACTGAACTAAACTGAGTGTCAGAAGTTCTTGGAGTTTTAGCTGAGTGGGAAGTGGAGCAGCTGGGATGCAAACTGGTGCCGCTATGAGATTGCTGTGCTCATAAGGTGAGGATTTAGTCAGCGATTCATTGCTCTGGGCTCGATTAGTCATCTTTAAATTGAATAATTCAACAGCAACTTTTTTGATCTCAGATGAGTTTCTAGCATCCTTCAATTCCCAGCACAAAATGAAGCCAATTTCTCCTTCCCTTTACTTCCAGAACTGACTGTATGATCACCTCAAACCCTAGAACACAGTGGTAGTGAGCCTGCGTTGTCCTTGAACTAGGAGCATCGGGGCAGTAGGCTGCTGCCTGACTTTTTTTCTCCCCTCATGGGATACTTGTCCTTGAATGCAAGCCACCATGCTCTGAAGTGGCTTAGAGAAGTTTCTGTAGAGAGAAATAGGAAAAAGAAATAGGACAGTCTCCTTGCCCTTGGTCGCCGTGAGCTGCATGAAGGTATTTCAAAGGCTCAGGAGAAAAGAAGCTTGAAAGAGAACTTCAAATTGGTGCAAAAATATCTTGAAATCCATGAATTTATTTCTTCAGTTTCCATAAACTTTAGAAAGACTCCTTTTTTGCATCAAAATAAAAATTTTGTTTGACTTTTGCATAAACATTTTGAGCATCCTTTTACATCCAATCAGTTAGCAATAGTGTGTGTGTGTGTGTGTGTGTGTGTGTGTGTGTGTGTGTGTGTGTGTGTGATGTCTTCACAAGCATTTCTACCAGCTTGGACCACATATTCTCTCTAACCTTGGGACTATATGTATGAAGTGAGGATAATGCTGTGAAACACATCTCCGATAAGGTAACAAGAGAGACCATGGGGAAGTATCCTGTCAGACTCTTTCTTATTTTTGAAGATTTAGTTAAAGTCAGAGTGTCAGAGAGAGAGATTTTATCCTCTGCTGGTCCACTTCCCAAGTGGCTGCAGCAGCCAAGGCTTGGCAGCAGAAGCCAGAAGCCAGGAATTGCACCCTGATCCACCCAGGCCTTGAGCCATCCTCTGTTGCCTTTCCAGGTGAATTAACAGTCAGCTAGATTGGAAACAAGACTCAAACTGCCACTCCAATGTGGGATGCTGCAGCACAAATGGCAGTTTAACCCTTGATGCAGCAACGCTGGCCCCAAATTTTCTTTTTAATGTGAGAATCCATTTACCATTTGGAATGACTCAGCAGGAAACGTTCGAAGGAGAGAATCCCTTTGAATTTTTCCACTTGCTTGTCTCGTCATTGATGTCCAAGGCCAGTTATACATTCAAACTTCTTTATAATTTAAACCCTTTTTGTGTGTCTGTGTGCGTTGCATATGGCAATCTGGGAAAGCCGTCTGGGATGTGACTCCTGCTTCAAGAGTAGTGATAAAGTTTCTAGCACTCACTGTCGTTGAGGGAAGCAGACTGTTGTTGAAGTGTTATTATTAATGAGAATTACTGCTGGACAGCTTGAACTAGAGGATAATTTATTCCCTGTGAACTTCTAATTGCAGTGAAATGGTTCATTCCCCACCACACTTGTCCATCTTGTTCATTCCTGCCTTTCAAGCATGGTTGGCTGCAATGAAATAAGGCAGAGCTGCTCAAGCTGCATAAGAAACAAAACTCTGCATTTTGGAGGAAATAGTGCAAATTGGTCAGAAAGATGTAACTTGTGGAAGTCAGGCTTGGGAAAGGGGGGAAAAAGCAGCCTGGCAGGCTGAAGGGGATCATAATTAATTCACATGAATCAAGACACCTACTATGTGTGAGGCTTCATGCCCAAATGAACCAGTGTTACCAGATGGCCACACACTGCTCTCATGTTGAAGCTTGCATATTCTCTCCAGCATTTCTGATAGAGTTCTGTCCTTTAGTTTAAAACCCCTCACGTCCTCTCCACTCTCTTCCATAGATTGCTTTGGGGAAATGACCTTTGCGTGTGATGGCGATGTGCATTTATTCCCGATGCTATCCTGGATGGTAAGGCTTCCCCTGATTTTTGCCAAATTTGTATCTTCCACTGATCTGTTTTCTGCTTTTACTACTCGTCGTATTGTTACCATGTCCCTTGCACAAGTGTCATTAAATGTGCCTTTGACTTGCTGCTACCATGGTGATGAACACTTGTCATTGGCTATTGGCACATTACTGTATTTATATGAGATTTGATCATTTGTGGTTTAATAGTCATAAGGATCAACCCAATTCCAGGCCGGTAAATGCATTAAAACCTGTCTGGAATGAATGATTGATTAGGTTTTGGGTGCTATGATTATCAGTAAGTTTTCTGAGTGAACTAGTGATAGTACATCACTTGGGGAATGAGGCTGGCTGTTAAATGGCATCTGTTTCACTGCGGTTGACCTTAGATAGATGCAGCACAGGTAAGGAAGGGAGTGGGGGTGCCTTGTCATCTTTAGTCTTAATTATGCTTGATGATTTTATACTTGCTGAAAAACAGAGCTGCCCAAATCCCAGGGAATGTCGGTATCAGTAGCTAAGAAGTCAAGAGCCTCCCTCTCCTCCAGTTCCTGTCTTGATCTAAGAATGACTGCTTTATATGAGGAACAGATCGTAACACTGTGCTCTGTGGGACACTGGAAAAGTGCTTAAGTGACAATCATGAAGTAGATGCACCCTCTCACTGTCTGAAATTCTGCCCTTGGAATCATGACTTTGGGTATAAGCAAGAGGGAGTAATTAATCAATAAGGAAAGGGAAGGACACAATCTACATGTGCTGAGAATTAGTCATTTCTTAATTTTTTAAAATAATAATTTATTTGAAAGGAAACAGGGAAAGATGTACATGCAGATCTTCTATCCACTGCTTCACTCTCTAACTGGCTAACGTGGGCAGGTCTAGGCCAGATCTCTCATGTGGGTAGCATGGGCTGTCTTCTACTGCTTTCCCATGGACCTTGGAAGAGGGATGGATGGGAAGCAGAGCAGCCAGGACTTGAACGGGTATTTAGAGGGGTTTGTTGACTTTGCAAGTGGCGTCTGGATCTGTTATGCTAGAGTTCCAGCTCTGAGAAAGTCATTTCAATCCAATCATTACTGATGGAAAATAATCCCATGTTCTTGGTATTTAGCTGGAGAAGGATTGAATCCCACCGGGTTAAGGCATTGACCTTCAAATTCTATTGAGACTGTATGAAAACCCATTGCAGATAAGAGCTACCCTGAGAGGCAGTTATATGGAGAGGGCTAGAGCCCAGTGTTTTAGCCAGATGCCACTCTTGATTCTGAATTCCCTTTCTGTATAACCTTTGGAAGGATGTCTGCTCCTTTTATGATTTGTGGTTCGTATCTGTCAATTGGGGTTAACCCTTGAACTTACAAGTTTATTTGATGGTTCAATGAGCTGATAGACTCAAACCCACTTAGAACAGCATCTTTATTCTTAGCAAGTACTAGAGGAATAGTCACAATTATTAACACTTTTCAGGGTAAATTTGTTTTTTCCAAATTGTTCTTCCTGAGGTGATTTGAATTGTTGGTAATTCATCCAGGTTGTTTTGATGAACATAGAAGGAAAGACAGTGTCCCACTTGAAACTCCCCAGAGTAGCCCTCCTGGGTGGGTCTTTTCAGTAGGCTACTTCTGAGAGCCCAGGGCCATCCCAGGGATAGTACCTGGCTCCACAGGGGGAGACAAATGAGGGAGAAGAGCTGTTAGAGGGATGCTCGGCTTTCCGTTAACCACTTTGTCAGGGTGTTGTATCCTGACATGATCTCTTCTGTCATTCTTGTCCCCTTTTGATGGATGTAAACAGTATTTCACGGATGTGCTTGGGGATAATCTGGTACTGGTGATTTTGTGTTTATAGAAGGAGTTGGTGCTTCAGAAAGGTTTGAGTCCTGTCTGTGCCACCTTCTAAATTTGTAACTCTTGATAAATCGTGTAATGTCTGAGTTGCAATTTCTCATTTACAAAATGGGCATGCTTAAATGTGCCTACCTCTCAGAGTGGTGGTGCTAATCCAATGTGATAATATGTGCGACAGCAACTTGTAAACTGTAAAGGGTGACATAGATTCAAGTTGTTATTATTAGTGGTTCTTTCAATTTGCCTTCTCTCTATAAGCAGACCTACATTTTAGCAGCACCTGTGTGCTGTCATCACTTGGTGGTAGATTATATTTGAGGGCTTTTTACTCATGTGTCTGGGACTGGTAATTGTATGCTGTCTTCTCTTGTAGTGAAGACAGAATATGCCCTTTGCCAAACTGGCTCAGCGTGCCAGTGTGGGAGCGCTGTTATCCATAAGAACAAGAGATCCTGACAGTTGTTCAATTTGTAAACCAATTATTCACAGGAAAACTCTTGAAATCATGAACTGTTATTTATTGATATGATTATTTGTGTTTTACACACACACACACACACACACACACACACACACACACACACACTTTCAGAAAGCTGGAGACCTAGAGGTTGGCTAGGGTAGAAGAAATGCCACAAATTAAGATGACCTTAAGTGGATGTGAGAGATGAGGTACTAAGCTGAGTAAAGAGATAACAAAGGGGGAATACCCACAGAGCTTGGGAAAGTTGACCAACTTTTGGAGCAGATCTCTGAGTGTTACTTTGTGGGTGTTACAGAAGTCATTCTGGGGGAAACACTTTCACTCCGGAACGAGGCTTAACGCAGTGACGTTTGCCCTCATTGGATTGACATGCTCCAAGAGAAGAAGGGAGAAAGGAAAGAGCTGTCACAGTTGTGGACAAAATCAGGTAGGGTCAGACCTGTGCTCCGTGGGTCACAAAAATCATTTTCAAATACCTAGCCTTGCGGGTCTCAATCACAGACAGAAATAGAGACCAAAGGTGCTTCTTAGGGAAGACTTCATTTTTCCAACCTTTCACCACCACTGAAAAATGGAGCACATGAGTGGCTGGGTACAGACCCTTGGCACCAAGTGGCTGGAGTAAACAGAACACTGCAGGGACAAAGAACTTGGCCTCCCACTGAGCGTATTACAAGAGCAATGCAGCACAGAACCCAGCAGGCTTTTGCAAACGACGCATCCCTTTAAGTTAATTGGTGTTATATAGAAGCTGAAATGCTCCGCTTATTTACAAAGCTACAGATTTATGTAAAGCAAAACCAATTACACTTAATGCCTAAACTATTCCAGGTGCTCAATGATAATGTTGCTAGGCACTAGAGAAGAAACTGCTGTGTGAATGCATCCTGTTCCGAATGGAAGCCTGTGTAGTTTACTGCAATTTAGCCTAATCACAAGTGTCAACCCCAATGTGAGGATTGTAAGCTCTTTTGGTGCTTGCTTTGGGTCAACTTTATAATTCTGTAGATCTTTCCTCTCAAAGGACAAGTGAAAACATAATGAGCACCATTCCCTATTCTAATGTAGAAATTAAGGAGATGAAGTTAAATTTGGGGGTGGAAGCAACAAAATCGGGCCGATCCTTTTTGTAACAGTGAGTCTGTTAGTGCTTCCCACTTACACTGAGGTGAGCTGTCCAGAGAGCTTGTGATCTTTTGGGTGTTCATTAAACCCAAATTGCAAACTTGGCATTTAACCTTTTGCAGGAAGCAGAGCTTCCAAGGTCATTCAGAGCCTGCCCCACTCTTTTGCCAGTGAACAAAGGCTAAGAAAGAAGGATTTGAAAAAGTTGCAAGGCAAAGACATTCTGCCTAAGGAGGGAATCTTTTCAACTTGTCCTCAAAACAAACAAGCAAATGAAAAACAGTTTGAGTAAGAGAAACACCTGGAGTTTTACAGCTGTTTTTTGGCAATTAAAATGCATATCATGCCTAATCAAGTTGAATAAATCTTCTATTACACAGATCTAAAATATTTTATGTGCACAAAGTGGAGGTGTTTAATTGCAAGATCATTTGAGATCAGGCGATAAACCTACCAATCTTATTCAGCACAAATTGTCCTGGAAAGTATTGGTTTTCAGAGAGCATAAGAATTATTTGGGTGTTAAAATTATTCAATTTCTGGGCTACACAATCTGGAAAAAGATTTGGGCAAAAGCAGTGTCCACTGAGGCCAGAAAGATTTACCCGTAGACAGTGGTGCTGTACCAAACTTTGACAAGTAGTGGGACAAAGGTCTGCATACTGTATTTACTCCATTAAAAAGAAAAGTTTCCAGATGTCTTTGCTTAGAAAGGAAGTTGCTTTTTGGAAGCTGGTTTTTCTCAGTACATGGACTAGTAGCTATGGAGATCAAAAGATGTACTTTGGGTTAGGGAATCTCCTCCTGGATTCTGCTCTTTGGTTTCATGGCTTTTCTTCCTCACAGCACTCATCTTACCTTCTCCAATTTCCTTCTTTCCTTCACTCGCAGTCATTTCATGATTTATGTTGATTTTTCAACTTCTTCAGTTTGTGGATATTTTCTTTTAGTTAACACCACTTTTAAATTCAGAGAAAATCCCCTTAATTAAATCAAGTCTTGATTGTGTCAAATGAGGATCAATACAGTATAATTATATGTGTATTATTTACTCAGAATAGATACAGCATAAGGTCACAAAATATGTAGAGAGAGAATATGAACATAGTTATTTTGCTATTATTTAACTCCTTAAAGCTCTATGACATATCTTAATGTTGCTTTTGATGGCTAATTCATTATAAAAAGTTACAAGATATTATTGGGGTACATAAAATGGACACTTTCTTGTCACAGAGTAGTCATCCAGACTTCAGAATTACTTTATTAGCTGTAATGCAGGTCATGTTAATAGGAAAGCATAATAGTTTACAAGAAGGTGTTTGTAAATAAAATCGACATCTAATCTTTTCAAAGCCATTCCAAAATATATTGGCTGTTACACTAAAGTGCATAAACTGTTTGAGAAAAAAAAACAATGAACACCATGCTTGCAGCACCAAGTTCAGTTTCATAGGACCATCTCCCAGGGATCAATACTTGCTGAGAATTCCTGCAGACTGCCATAAAGTTTCGGAGACTTCTCATGCAGAAGAAGCATTTCTTCAGGATTACTTCCACGGATGTTCTGGGCATTAAAATGATTTAGATTACAATATCTAAAAAAGAAAGAAAGCAAGCTTTTTTAAGGACCAGATGTAGATGAATTGATAAATCATTTGCTCTCTTCCTGTGCTTGTCTACCTTTTATGATGGGCTCACAGATACTGGCGCAGCAATTGTGATTATTTAAGATTGCTGCTCACCAGAGCTGTCCCTGCAAAAGCAAAGGAAGTTTTAGGACATTTTAAGGTATCTCATGGGAATCTTTAGAGGATGCTTTTTTTTAAAAACCTACAGCCAGTGCCATTTTCTTTCATTTTGATTTGAAAAGTAGAGAGAGGCAGGACAGAAAGAGAAAGACCAAGAGCAAGTGAGAGTGAGCTCCCCATGCATTCGTTGTCTTTCCAGCCATCTGCAGCAAACAGGAATGGACCAGGCTGAAACCAGGAGAGAGGAAGTTTAATTCAGGTCTCCTGTTCAGGTTGCAGGGACACAAGTACTCAAGCTATCAGGGTGTGCATTAGCAGGAAGCTGGAATCCAAAGGCAAGCCAGGATTGGAATTCGGGAACTCCAGTGTGGTATGCGAGTGACACACACAGCACCTTAACTGTAACACTAAGTAGGCATTTGGGTCTCTGTGGATGGTGACTAGCTGTGGAAAGTCTTAAACTTTATTGGCTTCATAGAGTTCATGGCAGCCAGGGCTCCCTGCTAGCTTTATATAGGTTTATCTGTTGCCTGGAGATTTGCACATTTGGTGCTGAGGCTGTGTGGAACACCGTTGGGAAGGTAGGCATGAGTATTTATAGAATACACACTGTTCAGCCTTGAACGCCTTATAGACTCACACCTTTGCTGAGTTGTCTCCTAGGTACCAGATGCCAGGCTCACTTGGGATGGAATCAGATTCAACACCAAAACTCAGTTATTTTGAATCCTGTCCTTCTTCTAAGTTTAAATTTAAAGTTAAAATTTCTTAAATACTTTCATATAAGCTCTAGGAAGATAGGAATTTGAGACTTCTTTATTCACAATTGTATTGCTCATGCCCAAACCAGTCCAATGTCTTCTATTTGTGAAGGTTTCAACAATGAATTTTACCTTCTTATCCTTAATTTGTTGTACAAAATAACTGTAAGAAAATGAATATACCCTGGATAACTCTGATCATTGATCCATGATTTATGCTACTTCCAATAATTGTTAAAGATTATGCACAAAAGATTATTCATATCATTGACAAAATACATAGAAGGATAATGAGATATGTTTTACTATACTAGATAAACGGTAATGTTGTAAAAATGATCTTTTGGCTCTCCTAAAATATTTGTAATTTTGTTACCTTTTAGCATCTGATGTTGGGATCCATATTTCTATTAAGCACGATAGGTGTGTTTCTCTAAGACTTTTCAACAAGAAGAAGGTATTTTATCAGACTACCTTTTTCTTTCAAAGATGTATTTATTTGGCTCATAGCAATAGCCTAGTGGCTAAGTCCTCACCTTACACGTGCCAAGATCCCACATTGGAGCCAGTTCTAATCCCTGATGTTCTACTTCCCATCAGGCCCCCTGCTTGTGGCCTGGGAAAGGAACCAAGTATGGCCCAAAGCCTTGGGACTCTGCACCCACATGGGAAACCTGGAGGAAGCTCTTGGCTCCTGGCTTTGGATTGGCTCAGCTTCGGCCATTGTGACCTCTTGGGAAGTGATCCAGTGGACAGAAGATTTTTCTTTCTTCTTTGTAAATCTGACTTTCCAATTTAGAGTTAAAAGAGAGGAAGAGAGAAAGACCTTCCATTCATTGACTCACTCTCCTAATGGCTGCGATGACCAAATAGCCCAAGCTGAAACCTGGAGCCTCATCCAGGTCTCCCACATGGGGAGAGAGGCCCATGGACTTTGGCCAACCTCCATTGCTTTTTTTCTGGCATAGTATCAGGGGGCTGCATTTGAAATGGAGCACCCAGCATGGCAAACAGTGGCTTGACCCCTTATGCTGCAACACTGGTCCCCTGCCCACTTCTTTTGTGTTCAAGCTGGAGAGCCTGGGCTATGACATATTATCATTGTAGTGTTTCAGATTTTGTTTAAAGACTTATTCCAGTACTTGAGCTGTCAACTACTGCCACCTGCCATGTGTGTGAGCAGGAAAATGGAGCAGAAGCACAGAAGCAGGAACTTGAGTCAGACACTCTGGTGTAGAATTTGAGCATCCCAAATGGCGACTTAGCCATTGCTCCACACCCTGACTTCAGATTAGATATGGGAGGACTTCAATACAGAGAGAATCTGGGGCTGATTGTTCTGTAAGTCTGGTTTATCATGGGTTAATTCTGAGTTTCCTGGCCGGGGGTTTGATGTGATGTCCCAGTTATCCTAACAAGATGAATGTGGGCCTAGGATTTACTCTTTGATTGTGGCAGACTAATATGAGAACACTTCAAAATGCTAATGGAGAATAGGGAAAAAGGATGTTATTTTGTAGGAAAAAAAAATCTTGAACTCCTTGCAGAAGAAAGACCCTGCAAAAGTTCATAGAAACTACACATTATGAAAAACCTGCTCATGGGTTTAAAAAAATGCTTTCATGAAAATAAGCATCTTTTAATTCCATTTTCCATGAACTTTTAAAATTACTCTCATTTAGGCTTGTGGTGGCCATGCCTTTATTTGATATCACAGGTGTAATATCACTTGGATATTGATGCAGATATTTCATGATCAATCCACTGTCCTCAAGATCTTAGAAATAAGTATGTCAAGACTGACTGTCCTGTTCTTGTTAAATCTGCCATCATTACTTGGATCTGAAGCCAAAGCTCTAGGCTTGATAAAAATTAAATTTTGGCTGAGTGTGTACTGAGACACAATATTGTTTGACTGATTAATAACACATTTTGATAATCCTGTCCCTGGTGCTATGGTGCTTTGTTCTGTTTCTTTGCATACTTAACAATTCTTGTTCATTAATGTTTGACAGAATCACTATAGAAATAAATCTAAATTATATTACCTTTATTGCAAATACTGATCTTACTCGCTTAGATGATATATTGTTTTTGGCCTTACTCTTCAGCTTGGTTTGTCCAACCCCAGTGGTCAGTGGGTTCCCAAGGCCATATGTGTCTTGGCATTATGGTATTTGATTGTAGTTATTGAATCTCTAGAGACGAATGTTCTAGACTCTCCTTCCTTTTGATTTAGGAAGCTCATTCTCTTCCTGTACTGTTGCTTATCAGTGAGTAGTAGTAAGAATAGTTGTTTTATGCTGAGGAAGCTGGTTTTCTTCCTACTCAGCAGAGCTGGAGCTTGTTAGAAAGCAAGCACAGGACTCTTCACGGCACTTACAGACAGCACAGTGGAGGAGCTGAAGGACAAGGACTTTAGAGACAAATAAATTTGGATTTGAATCCCAGTTGCACGAATTTGGTCAGTATGCTTAACTAGCTTTGCACTTAGTGTTCTTCTCTTTTTAATTATTTTTTTGAACATTTATTTATTTTTGTTTGAAAGGCAGAATTACAGAGAGAAGGAGGGACAGAAAGTTCTAACATCCACTGGGTCACTTCTCAAACGACTGCAATGGCTGGAGCTGCCAGACCAAAGCCAGGGCCAGGAATGTTCTCTGCATCTCCTACATGGGTGCATGGGCCCAGGGACTTGACCTGCCCTTTGCTGCTTTTCCAGGTCATAAGCAGGGAGCGGGATCAGAAGTGGGACAGCTAAAACTGGAACCAGCACTCATATGGGATATTAGCACTGAGGACCAAGAATTACTTTGCTATGCCATCCTGCCAGCTCCCGGTGTTCTCAGATTGATAATCAAATTAGAGAATTAATGTCTTCAGAAAGACCCAACAAAATTACTTCAGTTTGCATTATCTTAGCTGCAAGTCCAAATGCCTACCCCTGGAGACTATCTTTATAATAGCTTTATAAAACAAAAGCATCAAATCTTAAAGTCAGGCAGAAAATAAAACTGGAGATAGGACAGATTTTTTAATATTGGTGGGTGAGTACCACATACTTTCTTGGAGGGAATGGATCAGAGTTGAGGTCTTGGTTTCGATTAAAGTTTTCATTGTCAAATCTGTTTTGCTGAAAATCTGGAGTAGGTTTTATTGGATGTTTCTGAAGACCATGATTTTTGGCTTTGATGATCAAGCTAAGAATGAGATTAGTAGTGTGGGCTTTGTGGCACAGTTAGTTAAACTGATGCTTGGGATAACCACATCCCAACCTGTAGTGGTCAACATGAATGCTCGATTCGCTCCCTCCTCAGGTTTGTGACAGTGCACAGCTGGATTGGCAGTGGAAAACAGCTAACATTTGTAGGCCCCTTCCTACCACATGGGTGGGAAATCTGGGTAGTGTTCCTGGCTCCTGAGTTGAAGCTGGTCCAGCCCTGACAGTTGTGGTCATTTGGGGGAGTAAACAATTGAATGGAAGATTTTTCTCTCTCTCCCTTCTTCTGACTTCCAGATAAATAAAAATAAAATGAAGCTTTAAAAAACAGAGGTGAGATTGGCTTCAGGGGATTTACAGAAGTGAAATTACAACTGGATAACATGTACTTGAGAGGGTAGCAAGTGTACACAATCAGGACCTGTGAAGGCTTTTAATCTCGTCTCCACGCTCACCAACTAAGCCTAAGGACCCCTGTCTCCCCAGACCATGTGTTCTGTGCGAGCTGGAGCATCAATGGGTACTCTGTGCTTCCTGGCTGATGTTCCAAAAGTAACTGGCCAGATGAATAACGTAATGCTTTAGACAAAGAAGAAGTCCAGCCAATGGAATAATTCATGACTAAATAGGCTTATAGATAAATAGATGAAGGACATGAAGGAAAATGAAAATTTGTCTAGCTCCTGCTCTGTAGTGAAAGACATTGTGCTTTTTCTTTATCCAAACCCATTCTCTTCAAGTCCACAAGAAGTTGAGATAAGGATACTTGATATTGTTTATGGAGAAATGGAATGAGAACATAATGCTCTTATAGTGAAAAAAATTTTTGAAATGTGTGGGGTTTTTTTCATAATGTATGTTTTCCATGAACTTTTTCAAGAACTCTTGTGTTATTATATTTATTTTACATGTGTGAAAATATTGGCTAAGAGGTGTTAGACCATTTGCTTGACAATAAACAGCTGTCTAAGAATATATCGATGTCAGAGAGAGAAAGACAGAGAGAGAGATGGGCAAAGAAAGATGGAGACAGAGGAAGAGGGAGGAGAAGAAGGGAGGGAGAAAAAGAGATATGGATGGCTGTGGATGGATGGTAAACGATGCATATTAAGCCACTGAATGGTCTCAAGTGACTGACTAAGGATTTTTGTACAGTTTGTCACTGACCTTGAAATGGCCACTGCTGATTTAAAGCCCCAGATGTGATCCAAATCTCAAGCATCATTAGATTCCTAGCTGTTTGTTTAATGATATTTGCTTTTAATGGTAGTGACTCATTCGTTCTTATTATCAATCTGGTTATTTCTAATTCCAAAGTGGTACTGTGTAGTAGAGTAAAAACAATGCTTCCAAACACACTGTAGTGTTGAGTGAAGCACTATTAGGAGCAACACTGGGAAAGTGAAGTCTAAATTGAAATTTCTGGCAGTGGATAATCTGAGATTTCTGCACTCTTACTCTCCAGTCATGATATGCTGGACTCCTGTTGGTTCAGTGATGGTTTAGATCAACACATTTCAGGGACCTGCACATTGCTCGTCCTCCATGCACTCACACACCTGAGTGAAAACTCCAGTCCCAGGACATTCAGCAACGTTAATGACACCAAGAGGAGGGGGTTCCTAAATTGCTTTTGTTTAATGTGTTTGGAAACCAATTGCCTGCTTGGAACAAATGTAATTGTTATCAACTGCAGAGTTGCAAGTTTCTGTGAATATTTTATTCTTCCCACAATTCATAAAGCTTTATTCGTTTTGATAACACCTACCAAACCAAAAAAAAAAAAAAAGCTCATCTAGCAATTCATTGTCAAAACTCACCTGATTCTACAATTAATAATAAAATGATGAAAAGTGCCCAGTTGTTTGTTAGTTTGCGTTGTATAAGCCAGGTGTGAGAAGAACTGGATTGTAGACATAATCCTGCTTATGATCTTCATTTGGGGGAATGTGTGTGTGTTATTTTCCTTGTAAATAATAAGATAACGGCTTCTAGGACAGCACATGGCATGCAGGGATTTATGTCTTCAGTGGAAAGCGTTTTCCGTGATGAAGCAGTATGTGTGTATACTGCTAGTGAGGTGAGTGAGACAACATATATAGATGATAGATATTGAATCATTTGACAACTCAGATAAATCCAGAATTATGTTAAATGGATATCACAAGTCCCATTGGCCCAATTATTTGCAATCTCTGAATGACCTAGGGTTTTTTTTTTTGTTGTTGGATGAGTGATCCTTTCATTAAAAAAAAAAACTCAAATGAAAGAACCAATTTCCTGTTGAGACCAAACTGAATAAATGTAAAATTACTCAAAATTCAAAGCAATTGCTTTTATTTGCTGCTATGGCTTGACTTTCCTTTTGGATCTCTGCTACAGCTCATTCCTTACTTCTATCTGTGCTTACACCTGTATTTTTAGACATGTTATTATTGTATATATTATATAGATAATAATATTTGTATTATACACACAATATTTACCTTTAGGTAATTTAAAAACAGAAAAAGAATCTAGTGTTATCTGAATATATTACAGACACAGAATATTCTACAATATCTAAAAGGGATAAATTTACAGAAAGAACATAATTCAATCGTAGTACTGGATGGATAGAGTATTTCTATAAGAAATCTTATGCAGTCTGAGAACAGGAGCCAATTGCCTTTGAGCATTCAAATGCGAAGGTTTTGGCATTTCTTCTTTCTTGCTTGCTTTTTTTTTTTTAAAGGAACATCTCTGGCAATGGGTGAGGGAGGAAAGTGTGGAATCAGTACAAGTTGTATTTGGACCAACAGAGTAGATCATCAGTACTGTGCTTGACACACAAGTTTCGTGTTATTTCCAGAACTGGAAAGTGGTTCTTGGGCTTTCCCCTGACAATGCAGGCTTTACACTGGGATGTAAATGAAACGCTGTGTTCAAGGTTGATAGTCAGCTAGTGTCTGGGCATGACAGGTGTGATTCATTGGTGCCACTGCCCATAGAAAGTGCCTCCTCTACTGTCACTTTACTTCCGAATGACCATTATTAGGAATCAATCATGAAAATTAGCTGTGCCCATTACAGTCCGGGACCTATAAATGGGAGCAGGGATTGAGTTTTAAAGCTATTTCATAATAGCTTTATTACATTTTATTAATCTGTGTTCCATTGCAGTGGAAAATTACGGTCGTATGACTATACTGATACAGTTCTTTCAGCTGGTATTTAGATTTTTCAATGTTCTCCTGTTTGTTTTTGTGTTGGTATGGTATCTTGATTGTGTGTGTGTGTGTGAAGTACATATTTGCTTGTAACTGAATGGGAGGTGTTGGGGTAGACAAGATAAGCAGTAAGGTGAGAAACTTACCACTTGTTTTTAGAAAGAACTAAAACCATCTTGCTATGCCTTTTCAAATAGCACTTCCTTTTTCTCTTGAATTAATGTCCCAATCATATTTCTGTCCCTTTCATTTCACGTCAGCACTTTGCATGCCATGCGATTATACCATTTTATCACCAAGTTCCTCTCTCTGGAGTAAGAAGAGCGTGCGTAGAGCATGTGAAGCCTCCGAATTAACATGACATTAATTCTTCCTGGAGCATGAATTTTAGCCCATAATAAGTAATTGAAAGGACCACCTTTATATTCTAACAAAGTCAGAGGAGGGGGAAGAATATAAATTTTGTAAGATATTTAAAGGTAAAACATAATATTTCTAAGAAATTATGCAATTACAGCAAATACCAGCCATCAGAGACCGGACCAGATCCCCTGGGCATGCCAGCGCACTTGTATCTGTCACTAAGGATATTACGGCAGGCACAAATGAGAAGCAGTGTGACTTGGTGTATGAAGGTGTGGGGGGACAACTCAGGGAGGATTTACTAGAAAGGTTAGAGAGGAGTAGTGGAAATTTGAAGAGATACACAAAAAATAATTTTTTGAATTTTTAAAAAATCAAATAACAGATCACCATAACACCTATTCAGGCTGCTGCTAATTCTCTTGTACTCTTGAAACATGATTTTCAGCATTAGTATTTCCTCCTAATGTCGATCCTCACCCTAGACTTGTATTTCTGTGTTATTTAGCTGTTATTTAACATTCTCTCAACAGCTAATTTACGTGGCGAAGGCCATGGTAAAGAGAACTGGCACTGGGCTTGTTAGCATGTAGAAAACACCAACATCAAGTTTGATACAGAGGTCGGTCGTTAGAGCTAGACTTTGCTTTATTTATACAGATTGTGTGTATGAAGTGGCATCATTGGGTGCAGGGAACTCCAGATATTGAAGTAAACTTCAGAAATCACCTCTTGTTTCTATCATTCAGCAGTTTGGTTATTGGGCAACTAACTGGAGTTCCTGAGCCTCAATTTCCCCTCTAGAAAATGGGGCAGTGGTAATCCCTTTGCAGGGAGTAGAAGAGAGAATGGCTTCTAAGTGTCGGATAGAGAGATGGCACACGCTAAGCACTAAATGATCCTTCCCCTTTAGCAAGATCTCACAGAAAACAGTGGCCCATTTCCTGTCAGATATTTCTTCACGTTCCATGTGCCATTTTTTTTTTTATCATTATCCCAGGACTGGTTATAAAATGTTCCATTTAACATTGTCAGTTGACTCAGCTCTTAGGTACTATAACTTTATTTTAGTAGCTTATAAACTTTTATTGTTGTAATTCACATTTGCGCCATTTTTCATCAGATGCTTCTTGTAGCTGATTGAAATCAGGGGCATTCTTGCAAAAGGAGACAAAGTGAAGACATTAGAACTGCAATGAGCCTAGCTAAACTTCCCCAGATCTCAGCTTCTACAGACAGGAAGGTTAACAACTGAGGAAGAACGTGCCACATAAAGGGCCTTCATCAGATGCTATTTGTGAATACCACAATGAAGCCAGAAAATATTTAATATTTTAACCATCTAGTTAATAATGAGTAATAGGCTGATATTGGCATGGTGCCATAGCAGGCTGATCCATCCCTGCACAGCAGGCATCGCATATGGGTGCCGGTTCACGTCCCAGCTGCTCCACTTCCTATCTAGCTCCCTGTTTATGACCTGAGAAAGCAGTGGAGGATGGCCCATGTCCTTGGACCCCTGAATCTAAGTGGGAGACCAGGAAGAAGCTCCTGGCTCCTGGCTCAGGATCAGCTCAGCTCCTACTGTTGTGACCATTGGGGAGTGAACCACCAGATGGAATATATCTCTCTCTGTCCCTCCCTCCCCTGTAAACTTTGTGTTTCAAATAAAAATCAATAAATCTTTTAACAAGTAATGATTACTGAGTTCTGTAGGTAATAGAGCACTCGGAATGTTTGGCATTTTTCAGCATTCCCCCAAGCATCTGTTACTTAGCAAATTATCCTTGTTTATTTGAAAAAAAAATTATTTTTAAAAGAAATTTTCATGAAAATAAATACATCTTTTAAAACATAAAGACAAATTTTATGTATCAGGAAATGGGCATTCCAAGCTGGTTCAGGAAAGGAGTTCATAAATGACTCGCAATTGGTACTTACTCTAGAGCAATAGATGCCTTATAGATATGAAACAAAGTGTTTCTAATTATCTTAAATTACCATGCTTACTTTTAGAGACCAAAGAACTGTAGATTCCTCTAGAATGACTCTTTTATGTCACAGACTAAACATCGAAGCCACAGAGGGGTAGAGTGAAGCATCCCTCACTAGAACCGTCATGTTCCTCCTCCTATAACAAATGCATCCTATAGCCCACCTGTGGGCGCTAATGGAACCATCACTTTTATGACTTAATAACTTCTCAGCAGTTCAAGAGTGCCTTTGAAACAGCTTACCCAAAGTCCTTCTAAAGCACCTAGTGCAGCATCACTCCTCAAATCCTGCCACTGACATCACTCCAGTGTGAGATTCTTGGAAAAATTTACACTACATCGGAGGCTTTTAAAACAGGGCTGACGAACATGTCCTTGCCTGTGGTGACATGCGTGGGTGACGATAGTAGGAAAAGCACAGATTGCCACTGTGGAAGGGAAACATATCTTAGTGATTTCAGATCTTATGCCCTAAACTGGACAGCCACACTTTTTTGCTATGCCTGAGCTTCCCTGGGCTCTGAAGTCTTCTCTGAATGCTTGCTTGTTTCACTCGATGTGTTGTCCAAGAGTGGAGTCTCTCCTAATACTTAGACCTGCTCTGCATTAACCAATCCTCAACAATTATTCCATAGCTAGGAAACAAATAAGCCAACTGAAAAATGAGTAAATGATCTGAATAGTTATTTCTCGAAAGAATACACACAGATGGCCAACATCCCTAGCCATCAGTGAAACGCAGATTTAAACTATGGTGAGATATCAATTTGTATTTGTTGGAATGGAGAGTATCAAAAAATGAAAAGTAGGATCCAGTACAGTGGCCTAGTGGCTAAAGTTCTTGCCTTGCACGCACCAGGATCCCATATGGGCACCGGTTCTAATCCCAGCAGCCCTGCTTTCTATCCAGCTCCCTGCTTGTGCCCTGTGAGAGCAGTGGAGGACAGCCCAAAGCTTTGGGATCCTTCACCTGTGTGGGTGACCTGATGAATGTTCTGGGCTCCTAGCTTCGGATTGGCTCAGTTCCATCCATTAAGGCTGCTTGGGGAGTGAATCATTGGTCAGAAGACCTTCCGCTCTGTCTCTCCTACTCTC